CTGACCACTGCTGCCGCCCGCTCGAAGACCTCGCGGGAGCGCGGGGGGCGCGGGGGGGCGGGGCGGGGCGGGGGGGCGGGGGGGGGGGGGGGGCGGCGCTTGGAAGTGGATTGGGGGCGGCCCGGCGAGCGTCCAAGCCGGCAGGGGCTGAGTAGATCATCGTCGACGTTGATGTCGCCGATCATGATCGAGCTTGCCGCGAACGGGGCGGCCCCAATCATCGCGCATTGCGCGACAATATCAGCGCGGCTCACCTGGGACTCTTCTGCGCTCAAATCAAAGTTATGGGTGATCCAGCGAAGCCGCCGACATTGGGGCGGGCGACGCAGGGCCCCCAGCATCAGCCCCCCCCCCAATAGCGGGGCGACGCGGGGGGCCCAGGGGGCGGGGGGGCAGCGCGAGGAGCGAGGGCGCGCGCCCCGCCGGCGTCTTTGCCCAGCAGGAAACGAACCGAACGCTTCGAAATCGCAACGAAGCTGCCCCAGTTCGAAGCAGCACAGACACAGCATCGTCCGGTCCGGGGGCCTCTTGTAAAGCAGTAGTGTGGTGGGGGCGCCTGACCGGGGCCCGAGGGCCGCCGCTCTCCTGGCCAAGCGCCTTCGACTGGTAGTGGAGGGGGGCCCGGGCGCCCCGCGATCCGGAGACAGTCCGCCCGGCGCCCGGCGCGCCGCTGCGAGCTCCGCTGGATCTGCCGGGCCTGGAAGAGGCGCTGCGCAACCCTCTCGAGATCGGCCTTCGCCGATTTGAAGTCAGCGAAGCGAGGGGGGCGATGTTCAATTGGGCTCTGGCGGGGGCTGGCAGGGTCAACGATAACTTTGGCGGGCTATTCCCATTCCATTGCCATCGCGCCTGCTCCTTGGCCCACGAAGATCCGCCGTCCGAGCAACTTTGGGGCGTCCTTCCGGGGCTCCTTGACTGCGCGACCTTAAGGGCGACCTCTCTCCGGCTGCGATCGGGCCCCGCGCGAGGCCGGGTCCTCATCTGACCTGGCGCCGCGGCGAAGAACTGCTCCCAAACGCCATTGGGCTCGCGCAGTTGATCATGGGCTCGCCGAGCCCGCGCTGCCGCCGTTGCGGCGAGGCCAGTGAACCTGGCCACGAAGCGCTGGCCGAGGGGATCGCCTTCCACGTTGTCGTCCTCACCGCGCGCGTTGCTGGCCCCTCTAAGTCACTCGCGCAGGGCCCCGCTAAGCCACTCGCGCAGGGCAGATTCGACGGCTCTTCGTCCGAGATCCTCTCTGGCGTGGGCCCGGCTGTCCGCGCGATGGAAACTCGCGGGGCCGCGTGGGCCAGGTCGAGCCCATTCCCCAGGCGCCCGAGGGTGGCCTCCAGCAGCCCGCTAGCCTGACTATGAGCCTGTGCACGAGCGTCAACACCACGTAGCTGGCAGTCAATCGATTGGAACCTTCCCTGAAGAGTTTCACCACATTTGCTGAGCAAGGACTGAAAGACTGAGGGGATCTGCTACGTGACCTGGGACTGGGGCACAGACGTCGCAGTGTCGTGGGCCTTCGCGAGGGGCGCGTGCTGGCAGGCCTCGAACTCCTCATTGATGAAGCCTCCCGCCCGCGGGTCGGGTCGCTGACGGGAACCAGGGCCTTGGGCAACACTCTTGGCAGACTGTCCACTGGCGGGGCCCCCAAAAGCATCGGCGGCGCTGTCGTCTGCACTGACTGAACCACCCCGACGCCCCGCAATGTGATGATGGGGGCGACTGCCAGCAGAACCGCCCCGGGGAGCGGGAATCCATTTTTTGTTTATCCCGTGCGCGGTGACTGCTGTGTAATCGGCTGGCAACAACTCGCTACCCACTGGCCTGTGTGGCAACAGGCGTTTCGGGAACGGATGCAAGCCGCCGGGTGCCGCCGCTCCCGTGCTCGGGCCTCCCCCACCGCCGTCCCGCCTCGAGCTCGGGGAGGGCGGGCTCGCTGCGTCGAGGAGCGCAGCCACGACGTCGGGGTCGTCCTTGTCTGTGAGGGCGGGCTGCCAGCCCTGACGGCTGGGCGACCATGAGCCTCTGTCACTGCGCGACCGCCGACCAGGGGTACACTTTTGTCCCTGATCGTGCTCACCCCGACCAAGAAGGCGACCCTTCTGCCGAACGCGGGGTCGAGAGAGGCTGACCTCCGACGTGTCGTAGTAGTCCCGTTCAAGGCGCGGCTGGCTGAGGCGGCGTTGGCTCCTCATCTCTGTCGTCCTTCCAACCCTGCCTGTCCCTCTTCTCCTTTTGCGGCCGTTGCCCGCCATGAGAAATCTGGTTGAGCTGACCCCCCCCAGGAACTAGAAAAAAACAGCCTACCTGAGAGGGCCGACGCAAACCGGCCCGTGATGAAACAAGCCCACCCGCGCTGGCGAGTGGGGGAAATCTCCTACAGGAGCATGAACCAGTGAAAGCTCGCCGCGGACTAACGGCATCCACTCTATCCTTTGGGGGTCTCGGCATTTACAGCCAAAATGGCTACGGAGTGGGAGAAGGTGGAGGAGGATGAGGAGGATGAGGA